TGGTGACTTGTCCAGGGTGTCCCCCGCCTCTCACACAGTGATAGCTGGATATGGGCACCAGTGATACCCGCGGCCCAAAAAGAAAGAAAAGGGTAGATAATGATGGATGGATGGTTGCAAAGTGGTGATGTATTCAATTTATAAAAACTTGCATTATTTGGTAACACTACAATAAGGTACACAAAATTTGATTAACTACTAGGGAACAAATCATGAATGGTAAATCTTATATAGTGCTTTTCTATCTTATTTCAAGACACTCAAAGCGCTTTACAATACAATCTGTGTCCTCATTTACCCATTCACACAGCACTGTACTAGATCTCTACAAAGCTAATTGAACAAATTATTCTAATGAGACTAATCAGAGCTTTAGATCACATTCATACACTGATGGGACACACATCAGAGGTTATGAGGGGTTCAGTGTCTTGCCCAGGGACACTTCAGCATGTGACTGCTGGTGAATTCGAACCCCCAACTTTTGCATTAGAGGACAACTGCTCTAACCACTCAGCCATAGCCGCCCCAAATCATGAACAAATCAGGAGCTAATGGGTAGTTAACTAGTACTTACTGGGGGACACACAGCCAAGCCTTTTTAGGGGACTACTGTTAGTTACCTTGCAAATGAACTTCACTTCACTTCCGGCGAGCTGATGGACAGCAGCTCCCTCCGGCTTCTCTGCAGTCTTTTATCATCAAACTGACCCGTTTTTCGAACCGGACTAAAGTTGGTCCTCCTTCCAACCGAATTCGGTGTTCAGTGACTCAGAGAGCCGGACGGGACCGTCCAAAAAAAATAAATAAATAATATTTTGGCCCTGGACCGATCGGCCGCTCCCCCCCCATCGGTCACTCTGAGCGCACCCTGCCGGCCAGGTGACCCCTCGAGCTGGGGAGTCGACGCACGAAGGTCCGGTGTTTTTTCTCTCTCTCCCTGGACCTCAACGAACTCTTATCTGGACCTTTGTGGTTCTACCTGGTTCCGACAAATATCGCCGGGTGGTATTTCGCTGGTTTTCAGCTGGACTGGCCCTCGTGGTGTTTCCATAGGTGTGGGGGAAGTGTACCTGTGACCCTCGAATTGGACCAGAACCGAATCGAGGTGGCTGTGGGGAAATTCGTCTTCTACAGAGCCGGTCTCAGCTTCAGTGAGCAGCCCGTTACTTTTACTGAAAGACGATCCACCTCCGTGGAGTCGTTGTGTTCACCTGGAGGAGACGCTCCGGTGCTTTGAAGCGCCGCCGGACCGGAGCAGAACCGCGCCGCCGGGCTGCCGGACCGGAGCAGAACCGCGCCGCCGGACTGGGCCGCCGGACCGGAGCAGAACCGCGCTGCTAGACTGGGCCGCCGGACCGGAGCAAAACCGGGCCAGGGATATCTTCAGCCTCTTCGTCTCTCGTGCTTGGAGCGCCGGAGCCGAACTGGAGCAGAACCGGACCGGACCAGTTGCCGACTTCAGCCTCAGCCTCTCTGGTCAGTCTCGCTTTTCACCGGGGGTGCCCCGTGCTGTCGGGTGCTGAGAAGCGGAGGAGCAGCGTCGAGGAGCAGCGTGGAGGAGCAGGGCTGCGTGGTGCTCGAGAGAAGTTCGGAGTTTGTATCGGAGCTGCTGCAGGCCTCCATCCAAACTCACCTGGATAATAATTAATTTTATTCCGGATCACGTTGTTGGCCCCTGTTGACCTGAAACGAACTTGGACCATGCCTTTCACTTCAGGAGGATTTTCTGGCAGCTCGCTCTGCTATTTGCTGCGAATTTTCAGTTTCTGTTTCGGCCTGTTGATTCTGGACCCAGCTTCTGTTTCTCATGGGAGTATCCATCCATCCATCCATCCATCTTCACAGGGGGGCCGGAGCCCCCCTCAGCCTGACTTAAACTGCAGTTGGGCCACCTCGTCGGGTTTGTTTGCCCATTTGAACTGTGACATTTTATGGTCTGAATCTTTTCTGCATCATTCATATTACTGTCACTATTTTCAGTTCTCAGATTATCTGGAGTCACTGAATCTTGTTAATACACCTGAATCTGTCCATCACTGCAACTTTCACTGTTTTTGGGTTCTGAATGATCGCGTCTTCATTAATGTTTCTCATGGTTCGATTATGGGGGCTAATTGTCACACTGTTAACTCCTGTAATTACACATCAGTCACAAAAAACTCAAGAAAATGTCTGATAATAATGTTGTTATTGCTCTCAGGAATTCAACCTAATCCTGGACCCCCCACTAATTACAGCACACCAAATGACTTTAAAAACGCCTCTGGGCTCCATTTCCTGCATGTAAACGCTCGTAGCCTTCTGAAAAAACTTGATGCTGTGAAAATCCTGGTCAGTTCTTCTGGGGCAGATGTTATCTTTATTTCTGAGTCCTGGCTCAACAAATCTGTAATGAATAATGACGTGGCAATCAATGGGTTTAACATCTACCGCTGTGATCGTCAAAAAAGGGGGGGGTGGAGTCATTATTTACATTAGAGACACTCTGGTTTCAAGTCTTGTGACTTTCAAAACAATTCCAAACCAGTTTGAAGTCTTATCTGTAAACATCACCTTGAATGGAGGCCAGGTTTTAACTGTAGTCTGCTGCTACCGCCCCCCCCACAGCTTCACCTGAAGCATTAAATGCCATTAAGGAATTCCTTGGTAATTTAAAATTCAAAGAGATCTTTTTGGCAGGAGATCTCAACATTGATTGGTGTAAGTCGACCCCCCTCTGTGACAAATTCAAGGAATGTTGCTTGTCTTTTAATTTAACCCAACTGATCGACTCCCCCACCAGATTAAATAAAAGCCATCCTGACAATTCCTCCATCTTAGACCTGTTTCTAACTAATATGCCTCACAAATTCCCTGGTACAGGTGTATTCGCTGATCTTTTGAGTGATCATTGTGTGACAGCGGCTTTAAGAAATAGTAAACTTCCACCTTCTAAGCCCAGATTAATTAAAAAAAGGGATCTGAAACATTTCTGTGAACAGTCATTCCTCTGGGATCTGTCTCACTTTGACTGGCATCGTATTCTGTTAACTGATGACGTGAACTCTGCTTGGAACTATTTCCATAATAATTTCATTTATTTCCTGAACTTACATGCTCCTTTTCGTCAGTTCAGAATAAAGGGACGAGACAGCCCCTGGTTTACTCCAGAGCTAGCTGACCTCCTGCACAGGAGAGATCATCTTTGGGCCGCAGCGAGAAAATCTGACTCAGACACTGATTGGTTGAGTTTCCGACAGATGAGGAATAAATGTACAACTTCTGTCAAAGCAGCAAAACGAAACTATTTCTTATCTCAGACCTCCAAAAATCTAAATGACCCCAACAGATTCTGGAAAACAATTAAATCTCTCTCAGGCACCCCCCAATCATCTGACCTCCCATCACAACTTCTCGTTAACTCTGTTCCTGTGTCAAATAAGCACGAGATCCTGAACTGTCTCAACAAACATTTTGTTGCTTCTGGTTCTTTATTTGACACAGTTACTAATGGAAGATCAGCCACTTCACTTAATAACCAAACTTCTACAAATCAAATCCCTCCTACAAGTCAATCCTCAGTTAATCACACCTTCTCTTTTTCTCCATTCTCAGTCAGTGAGGTCAATAAACTGTTAAAAGATCTTGATCCTAAAAAATCTGCAGGTCCAGATGAACTTCCACCTTATTTCTTAAGGCTGGCTGCTCATATCATCACAGTCCCTGTGACCCACATCTTCAATCTCTCCATAAGACAAAACTCCATCCCAGACACTTGGAAAACAGCCTTTGTTCTTCCTTTGCTGAAGGGAGGTGACCCCACCTCACTGAACAACTATCGACCAATCTCTAAACTCTGTATTTTAGCCAAGGTTCTAGAAAAACTGATAAACTCTCAAATCAAAAATTACCTGGACTCATTTAACATCTTACCTCCACATCAATCTGGTTTCAGGAAACAACACAGCACAACCACTGCTTCACTGAAGGTTCTTAACGACGTTGTTGAAGCACTGGATGCTAAGGATTATTGTGCTGCACTTTTCTTAGACCTGTCTAAAGCTTTTGACACTGTGGATCATAACATCTTGTGTCATAAACTCTCAGAAATCGGTTTCTCAGATCACACCATTGGTTGGTTCTCTAACTATCTTTCAGACCGGAGGCAATGTGTTCAACATAATGGTACTTCCTCCAGTTATTTAACAGTCAACAATGGTGTACCACAAGGCTCAGTCTTAGGACCCACCCTCTTTACAATCTACATACATAATGTAGGTAAAAACATCCCTAATGCATCCATACATTTCTATGCTGATGACACAGTTGTTTATTGTCGAGCTAAAACTGTTGCTAAGGCTTTCCAGCTTCTGAAATCTGCATTTAACTACATCCAGACTGATTTGTTTCACCTCAAACTTGTCCTAAATGCCGAAAAAACCAAAGGGATGCTTTTTTCAAATAGGAAGTTGGTCCCAGCAGTTCTTCCTCCGATTTTATCCTCAAATGGTGTCCCCATTGAGTTTGTTGATTCCTATAAATATTTGGGTATCTTGGTCGACTCACATCTTTCTTTTAAGCTCCATGTGGAAAACTTGGTAAAGAAACTGAAAATTAAACTGGGTTTCTTTTTCAGAAACAGATCCTGTCTAACCCTGAATGCTAGAAAACGCCTTGTATCTGTGACTTTCCTTCCCTCAATTGATTTTGGTGATATTATTTACATGAACGCTCCTACAAGAACCCTGCAGATGTTGGATGCTGTCTATCATGGTGCACTAAGATTCATAACTGGCTGTGATTATCGTACCCACCACTGCACCCTGTATTCACTGGTTAACTGGACATCATTAACTTCACGCAGACTCTCTCACTGGTACATTTTCATCTTTAAATGACTTCTTGGTCTGCTGCCTTCATACATCTCCTCCTACATGTCTCTGCGTGAGTGCAGCTACGGAGTGCGCTCTCAGGACATTATTACCTGCAGTGTTCCCTCAGTGAGGACTGAACTAGGCAAAAGGGCCTTCTCCTACTCCGCTCCTGTTTCTTGGAATATCTTACAAAAAGATTTGAAGCTCTCGACCTTGACCTCTCTAAGTGGCTTTAAGAATCTGTTGGACTCCTGGCAGGGTCCAATGCAGACATGTTCCTGTTTTTAGTTTTATACATTTGTCTTGGAATCTAGCTGTTTTTTTGGTTTTGTTACCTTTTTCCTTTTAGCCATCCTATTTGTTAAAAAAAAAAAAAAAAAAAAAAAAAAAACTGTAGTATGAGTTTTTATAATTGCTTATTGTTGTTGCTGTTGTCCATTGTTGTCATCTTTCTTTGTTGAAATCAGGTCTCTCTTGTAAATGAGTCCTCGAGGCTCAATGGGATTTACCTGTATAAATAAAGGTTGATTGATTGATTGAAGAGGAAATAATCCAGAACTAATGAGTAGTTACCAAGGAAACCAAAGAGGAATGAATCAGGAGCTAATGGGTAGTTAACCAGTACTTACTGGGGGGGACACAGCCAAGCCTTTTTAGGGGACTACTGTTAGTTACCTTGCAAATGAAGAGGAAATAATCCAGAACTAATGAATAGTTACCAAGGAAACCAAAGAGGAATGAATCAGGAGCTATGGGTAGTTAACCAGTACTTACTGGGGAACACACAGCCAAGCCTTATTAGGGGACTACTGGCTAGTTAACACAGGAACAAACCAGGAGGTAATGGTTAGGTAGTGATTAAGTAATGATTGGTTCCTCGGTAATTACTTGGTATGATGTTTCACTACATCAGTGAACAAACTAACAGCTAGGCAATGGTTTGGTATCAGTAAGTGATAGTCAGACATGATTAAAATGACATCAGTACAAGATGATGAAATTGACAATGTCTTTCATCAATAGGTTTACAAAAGAGAAAATCCAATAAAGCCAGTAATCACTAGGAAAGGTTTTTGACAAGATGTGACCTCACTGGTGCAGGGTTTATTCAGAACCCACATGGAGAACGTCTCCTTTGTTTCTGTGGTAACAAATCAGTACTCGCTAATAAGGCTTGGCTGTGTGTTCCCCAGTAAGTACTGGTTAACTATCCATTAGCTCCTGATTTGTTCCTGATTCGTCCCTTAGGCGTTCCTAGTAGTTCCCTAGTAGCAAATTTTGTGTACCTTATTGCAAAGTGTTACCCATTATTTGTTATGCATTATTCTAGGTGCACAGAACAAAAAGTTAAAAGTTGTTGTCACTAGTAAAACTACAGAAGCTTGTTGTGTCTTCATTTGCAAATAAACATTTTTGTTAATTTACTTGCTTTTCAGCTTTCACAGGGGCTGATCCTAAGTTCCAAGCAAACACTAAAAATGCCCAAGAAAACAAATCTGGGTTTTATGGTCAAGCATATTGTACAAATGCTGGCAAGACAAGCCTTTCAAAAGTTGACTGCTTGTGTGTTTTCAAACAGTAAATTCACTCATTATGTCACTGTTAGCCCACCTGTTACCACATTCCTGCTCTATTGACATTTTTCACAGGAGGAGGAAAAATACAATGTTATCTAAAGGGACATGGAATGTTGGACTGATTTTCCACCTGATACTCCAACCCAGACGGAACGAATAAAAAAGGGCAGGATGTTACCATCTTTAACACTACTTTTAGACTAAAAAAATGTTTATTTTCCTTCAGAGTAAATAAAAGTAATTTTAAACAATAAAATAAATTGATTAGTAATGATGGAATGGACTAGTCATAAATAAGAAACGTCAGTAAGTTGGTGTGTATTAAGTAAAATATAGGAATTGTTTTATTGCATGATTAGATTTACGTGTTTCCTATAAATTTGTTGTAATTTTATTAAACTTAGACCAGAAGTCTTCTCCTATGGGAGGATAATTACCCTATATAGTTTATATATAGTCAGTCTCTGTATCCATGATTGAAGCACCTGTAAAACGGGCAATTTTACAGTCATTGCACCTAATCACTCAGCTGTGGGAGGGAAATAACCTGTCCAAGCAAGCTGAGAGCTGTCAGACAGTTATGAGGGGGCGTGCATGCACATGAGTGTTTTTTTATGACAATGTTCAAAACAATGAGCCTGTTCATTTATGGAAAGATATAAAATGAATAAAAACAGAAAACTATTAAATGATTTATAGGTTTACATTTGTGTCTGTGATCATTTAAAACACTGCCCTATGAAGATTTCTCTGCCACAGAACTTAATATACATTTCATGACAGAAACTGCTTATAAAAGTAGTCTAGTGCCAAGTGCTGTGTATTTGTGTGAAAGTACAAGCTTTTCTCTAAACAGAAGCTTGCTTTTTTTTAGGATAATTGGTCACTTACTCAGTCATTTTGAGCTGGGCTTCAAAAAAGCGAACAAGAAAAAGAAGAAAAAATAAATCAAAGCTTTGCTCTTAAGTGGGCATAATTCAACCATGTCACTCTTTCCAGGGTAGAAACAGAAAGTGCTCAGCTTTTAAATAAAACGTACCTGACAAAACAAAAGAAAATTGTCAAAGAGCAGCCAAATCAGTAAGCACTTCAGATCATGGAGGCAAATTTAATTTTTTAATAAAATGAACTGTTGTTTTTTTGTCGTTGTTACTAAATTGTAAAAAAAAAAAAAGTAATGTTGTTTACAAGAGTATTTTGTGGCCTGTATTTCTAAAACCTAATGGTTACATATTTTTGTGTTCAAATAATACAAAGCCAATGCTGAAGTATACACAGGAATTTGAAATTGTACTTTAGTTTGTCAGCAATGACTGTGAAAAATTAGTCAGAGAATAAAAACATGTCTTTGTCAGTGTGTGTTGAATGTTTTTATACATTTAAAATAGCAGCATATATAAATGAGAAAAAGATTAATGATTTGATCAGCAGGATAAAAGATCTTATCCCTATCTCTCCCCCTTTTTAATAAATGCTCCTATGTCGTGCACAACAGCAAACTCTTTACCCAATGAAAAATATTTGTAAGCTCATTCTAGATAACTTTTTTTGTTGTTATTTATCTGGATGATAATGCATCAAGGAAAATTGCATTATTATAAAAAGTGAAAGACTCACTAAATGATGAAGCATTGTTGATATTATATAATTCACTGATTGTTCCCTATTTGACCTATCGTGTAGAAGTTTGGGGGAATGCCAGTAAATCGTATACAAATTCTATTTTTATTCTGCAAAAAAGAGCTGTTAGAATTATAAGTGGAAATGCTACAGAGATCCCACAAATCCATTGTTCTGTAACTTAACATTAATGAAATTTCATGACTTGGTGGACTATTACATTCTACAAGTTATGTTTAAAATACATAACAGTATGTTTCCAGTGCATTTGCAAAAAAAACCAAAATAAAATTAATAGACAACATTTATAATTTGAGAGGATCAGAGAATTAAAAAAAAACTCAAAGTCAGAACTAAACAAATGGAACGTTGTATTTTTGTTTATGGAACAAATCTGTGGAACAGTCTGCCTAAAGAAACCAAAGAGAGTAGATGTATTTTTACTTTTAAGAAAATAATAAAATGTAATTTTCTTTCAAAGTACAGTGAAGTATATTGATTCAGAGTGCTGTATCATAACAAAGATAATGTTTTTTTTCCTTTATATATACACATTTCCTGTTTTGTGTTCAAAGAAGCGTCTAAATGGATGGTTATTTGAAACTTGGTTGCTTGTGGTGTAGTAGAGTGACTTTTGGGAGAAGGGGTAGACTATATAAGATTTTTTTCTTCAAACTACTCCTTTTCATTCAGAACTTTCATTTGTGTTAACATGTGACATATTTATTTTAAACTGTAAATGAATGAAATAAATAAATAAAAATGATTGAGCTAACAACCCTTTTCTGAACCACTTTAGCCCTTGGTTGTCCTCAGGCTGTTTCTGTGAGTAGCAAGTTGGCCATCTGGCTTAATACATTTGATTGTTGTACATGATGATTGATTGTATTGGATGGGCGTGGTTTTGCACGTGTTAAAAGCCTACTTCTGAGATTCCAACAGGAGATCAAAGTTCATGCTCAATCATCCAAGTACAAAATCAAATAATGGTCAATCAAGTCACTGTAGGGCAGTTTCTCGTTTGTGGAAAGACAGTTTACACACTTTATTGGGACTCCTCAGACTGATGAAGCCCTCCGGATAGAGGGCGAAATGTCTTTTCACAAAAAAAAAAAAAAACTGGCCAGATGACCTGATTGACCATTATTGGATATTGTACCTGGATGATTGAGCATGAACTTTGATGTCTTGAACCACTTTGGCTGTGGCTGCCTGCCTGGGAGGAGTCGATGGGGGACAGGACAGCCCCCAGAAACCATTTTATCATCAGCAAACTGGTTGGTCCACTAAAGGAGTGTACCGCTTAGTGGGGAAAACAGTTTACTTGGGACTCCTCAGACAGATGAAGCCCTCCAGATAGAGGGCGAAACGTCTTTTCACAAAAAGAAACTGTCCCAGATGACCTGATTGACCATTATTGGATTCCAACAGGAGGTTGGCTTGAAACACAGCAGTGAAGGCTACCTATGAGTCAGATCTGGTTGGCAGGCTGCAGACTAAGGAAATCCTCCAGATGTGGGTCGAAACGTTTCTCACTTGTCCAGATGACACAATTTAACCTCTTTTGTCTTTACCCAATGATTTCAACTAGACTGAGATTACAGAAGTGTATGTACAGTTCTGAAAGCACCCCCTGCCTTGCTTCCACAAAAAAAAAAAAAAAATCGAGTTTCTTGTAATTGTTTAAGGGGTCCTAATCAATACTTCTCCAGGCTTTCTGTTTTTCCCTCTTTTTTCAGTTCATGTTTTTATATAACAGCAAATTGTGCAGTGTAAGCAAAGAAAGTGCATATGTGAAGGCCAAAGGAAAAAGTGATATAAATTTATTTTTCTTTCTTCAGGCAACATAAGGCTCCAAAGCCATACATCATACCAAACCTAACCAAACAACTAATTATGGTACGTAAAGTTGTGTGCACACTATGACCTGAAAATTTTTGTTAATTACAGCGTCAGCTGACTGATATTCTTCTTGTGCTTTACACTTTCATATAATGCAGTGTTAAATGTTTCATGAGTGTGAATGTAATATTTCCATGACCCATCCTGTAACTGAGATAACTCTAGATTAGTTGATGAGGGTTATTTAAGGCTTAATCAGTTACATAAGAATAAAACATCAAATCACAGGCTTGTATCCAACATGTAATAAACCCAGCAGAAATTCTGTGATCAGCACAGCAGTGGTTTTATTTTTAAGCACAATGATTCTTGTGCAGTACGTATAAAATCAACAAAAATAAAGTACGCAGGTGAGGTTATGCACCATCATTTGAACAACTCTTCTGAAGAGAGTTGCATTATCAAAGCTCTCAATACAATATGAGACTTCAAAAGAGCAGTGGCATAATTAAACTGCACAAAGATGACTTTACACTTATAAAGCTGTCAGTGGCTCAGAAACATACAGTCTTTTATTTTGAAATGGTAAAGTAAAGAACCACCCAGATGCAAAATAAAACTAACCGTGTAGCACAATTATTTTGATCCTCAAGTCACAGGGACAAAGTCATTTAATACCATGTTAGAAACGCAGGAAATTTTTAAATACGCCTTTCTTACCTGTTTGAGCTTTTTTAAGTCCTCATCTAACTCCAGATTGTCCAGGATAACAGCCACAAAAAGACTCAGCAGTATCTAAAGTGCAATATATAAGAAATTGTAAAAGATCATCTGCTGCTTGTCACTAGAGTACAATGAGCCATTGTCATTATCACAATGCTAATGATATAATTTGAACAAAAATATGGACAACGTAGTCCTTATCTCTCACTTTTCACTGTCTGCACTATAAATGCATTTGTAGCTTGCTCTGTCCAGGAAGACATCCTGTCTGTGTGGACTGAAGTGTGAGTCATCCAGAGTCTGCTGTCTGATGACTGCTTGTATCAACACCAAACACTAAAATGTCATAGCTTTTTACTCCTGCAAGTCTGATTATCTGTGATTAGATGTGGCACTTGCCTGAACAATAAAGAGACAGAGCACTAATTGAAAGAGAAAAATCCATGCATCATTTGATGCTTAATACTGTATGTCTGTATTTGGTATTGTTTTTTTAATAAAATACCAGATTATCAGCTTGTCTTCACATGGTAGTAAGTGCAAGAATTTATTAGCCTCTTTAACTTGTTATACACATGAGAAGCAGCACAGCTTGTTCCTCACCAGGGTAGCAAACAGATGGTACAGGATGAAGTAAATGGCCACAACTGGAGCCCACACTTGACCTACAGCCACCAGAGTCTGGTCCATGACATCTATCCAACCCTCCTGGGTTAGAATCTGGAACATGGACATGAATGCCTGCAAGGAGGAAAGCTCAACATGAGCAAAGAGGCTAAAGAGAGGGCAAACGTTAACATGGAAGACTAGAGCACTAAAACTATTAACAAAAAACAAATAAAACAAAATAAAATTAAAATTTTAACATATTTTACCACTGGAAAGAAAAAGAAAATCAAATGATGCACAAATCTCTTTGAAAACAGATTTTTTTCAATAAAAACAAGTGGGGAAAATATGAAGCGATCACATCACCACCTTTTCCTTCTATGATTTTCTGCTCACTTATGTACTCAGTAGAGGTTGACTGAATGTGCAAGGAACAACCAGCTGCAACCCGATGGCCCCTTAAGTCAAATGTACTTTCATCTTTTTTTTCTTCATCAGACAGCAACCCCAAGCTCACAACCTTTTCCATCTGATGCCATGTCTTAGTCAATGCAGAAAAAAAAAAGAAAACAAAAAAAAACACAACCTTTAAGAAGTCTCTCAAGTTTAGAGTAACTAAAATATAATTTCTGAAAAATTAAGACCTTTTTTTACTAAAATTTTAAAACCTGATCTTACAGAGTCTTACATGACAAAAAGGATTGCATCCCTTGTCATAAAAAACAACCTAACCCAATAAATCCAAATATGTCTCTCATCAAAAGCAAAGTCATAATAAAATTTAATTATTGTAATAGAGCAAATGCAAACGATCATAAAAACAAGCAGTAGGCTTATGGCAATGTCCCCCATCCCACAGGGATTTGAATAGTGAATGGCCAAAGGAGGGAGCAATTTTATCCACAACCATGCTTAATGGCGAAGCCAAGGAGTGGCCAAGGACCGCCTTGTCCACCATAGATTATTTAACTTTTAAGCAGTATAAAAACCATAAAGTATCAATCCCTCAAATGATAGGGGTGGTCAGTTAACATGCATACCATATATGCTGGTGGCCATCTTGGATTTTGACAAGGCAACCAAATTTTCAATAGTGATCTTTCTAATGCCTAGATGCAGCCATTTACCAAAATAGAAGTTGGTACCTCACTTTTTTCAAGTTATCCCATTCACAGTGTTAACATGTGCACATATACGTTGGTAGCCATCTTGGATTTTGATAGGTCAACCCAATTTGTGAAAGGACACTTCTCACATTTAAATGTAGCCACACACCTAAATAGAAGTTGGTACCTCTCTTTTTTAAGTTATCATGCTCAAAAGATGGACAAACATCTATGCCATCTTGGACTGTGGCGTAGCAACCCAATTTTTTAAACAAACTTTTCTCATGCCTTCATGTAGCCACACACCAAAATGAAAGTCAGTACCTAACTTATTTTTAAGTGATCATGCTCACAACATGCACAGACAAATGGATGGTGAGACAGAGGGTATTTCCAACTCTCCCTCTTTGCTCCACAAAGGGGGACAAAAAGGGCCCTTCATCTAGACATATTATTGATTTTTTTTTAAATACATTGTAATTAAAAGTATACAGTATTTTGTGTCTTAGATGGGAAGATGAGTAGGAAATCTCTCTTACCCTTGGAAAAGTGGTAAAACGGTCCAGCTCCTCCACAAAACAGAACATTTGCAAGCTGATAGCGGACATGACGATAAGAAGACTGGCTGTGAACACCACCAGGCTGCCCAGTTTTTTACCTGGACCAAAGATTTTATAGACAAAGTCCTCTAAGGCAGGAGAAATCTTTATCAAACGCACAACACGTAGCACCTAAGAAGAAGAAAGGAAGAAATTACACATTTATGATTCTATATACAGTATGTGAAATAGATTATAGAGTTTTGAAATTTAAGAACGCAATTTCCTTAGCAAATCTCAAAACGACTGTTACCATAAAATAAACATCACAAAATCACTGCCTATAGATATATTTTTAAAGGAACCATATTGATCTTGATCTAAATGCTAGAGCCTGCTAATTCTGTACTGTATTAAGAGGTTTAGTCCTGACATGGCCTGTGATGACAGCAACTCCCAACAGGTAATGCATCTTTGTCAGACTTTGATTGGAAATCTATAGAGTAGCTATTGATCAAGCTTTTCTCTGTGATGCTTCTAGTCAAAGATTTTTCTGTATAATCTCATGAAAAGAAAAATGAACGACTATCTTTGATTCCCTGGATATAAAATGAAATCAAGACGAAGGGGTGGTTACTATCCGAGAGGGAATCCAAGACAAAGTACACACTGTAAAAACAATGACAGCATGATGAGCGATTGGACAGAAACAGACATTTACTGTACCCCTGACAGACTACAATGACCAAAATGCATTTCATTTGTTTCCTCTGAGATTATAGGAACAAAGCACAAAGTAGTAAAATAACATAGGAAAGACTGATGTGAGAGCTGTGTTGCCTATATGTTGTTTAGGGTTCTGCTTTATGAAATACAAATCTATGTTTAACAAAGAAAATGTGTTTATGTGTTACAATTTTGCTGTAAAATAACTATTTTAAAACCATTTTAGCTAAATACCAATATTTGGAATAGATCAGCACATGCATTCCACAAATATGCACAAATAACATAAGTTCTGCATTTCAGAACAAAAGAAAAAATATGGCACAGACCAAATTGCAATAATTTCAGTTTTGCTAAAGCTAAAAATAACGTAATTCTTCCCATAAAATATTAAGTTCCTAGGTGAGTTTCAAGAACTGATTATGATCATAGAACATGTGTATTTAATTTGTAAGAAGGGGATGAACGCATATAACATTTTGTACTAAAATGTAAATAGGCTAATCATAGTCCCACAATTACATACAGTACAATAACAACAATGACAACGAAAAAAAAAACCCCATTAAGGACACGTACAATTGTACTTCAAAAACCTTAAGGTTAATTGCTTGTAACTCAATGTTTTTGTTTATACTGGAAGAGAGCTGAAAATAATATCAGCAGAAAACGTTAGAGATAAATGTTTTCAAAAGAGAATGAAATATGTAAGGAACTTGCTTTACAAATGCTGTTACTAACCACTAATCAGGCAAAAGAAGAAAACTGAAAGCATTTAGAAAAAAATGATGACTGTGCACTTTGTATGCAGGCACAAGTCTGCAGTTGGCAGACATACGATTGTGAACTTCTCCATTAAACAAAAATCTAATTTTTATTATTTGTAATTTGAGTAAATGATGGGGACATGCAAAAATTAAGTAATTTGTGGAAAATATAAAGGGGCAAAATTTCCAAATGATAGTGCCTTTGTTATATGTATTTCTGCAATTTTTATTTAACTGTACTGTGGTAAAGTCATGTCGTTGCTTTCTCTGGGCCAAATACTCAGTCCTCACAATCAGGTTTGTTTATCAAATTGCATCTGTTCTTAGTAAGCTGGATTTTTAAGTGCCATTATTACAGTCATAGCTAAAAGGTAAAGACATGGATGTTTTCTACAAGGTCAGCATTTTTAGTGTTTCTTGTAAAACCACATTTAAAAAGCAAGGGTGTTATGAAATAGAAGTGAGAGCGTTCATTTAACATATGATCATTGATGGAATATGTTGGAAAACAATTCAGTTTCAGCTCTTTGAGTTCACATACTGTAATTTCACACCAACACACATTTGCAGATTCATTCAAATGTGTGGATTTATTTGTACAAGACAAGTATACCTGGAAGTAGGTGAACTGAGAGTGATAAAGGTCAGGGTAGATGTGCAGTGTGGTCCCCACCACCAGAAGTGATTCAAACTTGTGCAAAGAAGAACTGATGTAGCCAGTAAACCCAAGACACAAAATCTTCAGTAGAGCTTCTAAGTCAAACAGGACAGTAAACGCAACCTGTGGTGGAGGGAAGAAAATCGAAATCACTGATGATGTTTGCTTTGTGAAAACAAAAACAAAAAAAAACTTTAGAAAAAAACTTTCAGATTTAAATTTATGTTGACAGCAAACAGCTTTTGCTTTAGTCATCACATTTTAATCTACAGGATAGCTTAAAATAACTTCTTATGTCATAATAAATTATACAAATTGTATAATTTTCTATTGATAAACTCCCAGAGATTGTAAGAGCAACTCTATACACTCTATGTATGTGTGAAAGTGTGAATGGTTGTTTTTCTCCTTTTTCTCCGTGTGGCTCCTGTGATGGACTTGCGACCTGTTCAAGGTGTTCCCTGCCTATTGCATCATGACCACTGGAGACAAGCTCCCCCACAACTCAAAAAGTAAAAAGCGGGAAAAGAAAATGGATGGATAAATAGATTGTGGGAAAGTGAAATAAGATTTTTCAACAAAATATTCAAAATAAAGAATAACGTGAAAAATCTTATGAATGTTTATCGATTTTTCTTAAGCTACTGTAACTTTTGCTAGAATATATTTAAACCCAATACCTTTAGTTCTGGCCCAATAGTTTAGTTTTCAGTTGTCAGTTTTTAAATGCATTCAGCAGAATGCACTTGAAATGCATTGCATAAATGCAACTGTGCCCATGTGGGGCAGCAACCAGCCAGGTTACATTCAATATGGATATTATTACTGCAGCTGTGACCAGCAGATAAAATACTGGGAAATGAGCAACATAAACTCTACATTACATCAAGAAAATGTGCATTTCTAAATAAATACACGTTTTACAAAATTACAATTTTCATCAACAATTTCCATGATACCATTTTAGCTTTCACAGATTAGAAAGAAAAAATTCTGAAGACTTTTTTTTTGCTTCTTCTTCTTTCAGCTGCTCCTTTCTTCAGAGGTCGCCACAGCGAACTAAGTTGCATAAAGATTTGGCAACTTTTTTTTATTTTTATTTGTGGGTGCTTCATCTTTTCCACCAACATTTTGATGTTGTCGGGAGTTGAACTGGCCATCTTCCGATCACAGGCCCACCTTCTCTAATCTCTGCACCACCACTCCCCATTGAAGGCTGCATAATACAGATGAGGGAAATGCGTGAATGACTGCACATTTGTTATATCTCCCGCGTTCAGGGAAGTGTGGGGGTTTGAGCTATGACCAAGAATGTGGGAGTAAGCCTACTTTAATTCATTTTTATTGAATTGTTTTAATTGTTTATTTTTTGCATTACCATTGCATATACACAAACAATACCAATGACATGTTAAATGCTTAAGTATCTGTATATTTTTTTCCATGAATCCTAAGATACCCAGCTGAATCATGCAAAATACAAGATGACCAGATAATTAAATTAATTCAGATTTTATAAACCTCAGTTCAACTAAAAAGGAGTAATTCTTAAAGGGGAAATTATATCTGCTGTTGAGAGAAATCCATTGAAAGCAGGTGTCTTTTATAAGTATTTCTCTCTTTTAACACAAACTAGAAATTAAACCATATATAAGCTATCCTGAGGCATGCTCAATTTTTGCATGCACATACAGTATTTAAGCTACATTGTTGTGCTATTGTGAAAAATAATAGTTAAAAATTGAACAAAGATTAAATTAAAGATTTGGTCAAATGGCCAATAACCATTAAATGCCAAGTAAAATAAAACAAAATTAATTAAAATCATTGATGATGCAGATTTAAAATAGGAAATTACATATAAAGAATAAAAAAAACAACAATAGCTCTCACCTCTGCCAGGTAAAACTCATCAAAGTGTCTGCGATAATGCTCGCCTTTATAATAGTTGCTGGCAGCAACAATGACATCAACAGCGACCATACTCAAGATAAACATGTGGAACACAGAGGACCGCATCAGTTGCTGTGGAAATAAAACAGAATTCAGTTGTATTCTGTAATGTTACATACATGGCATAGAGAAAACGTGAAGAAAGTAAACTTAAATTATGAAATATATTTGTTTTCCACAAGAGAAATAAAATAATACTGGAAAAAACAATTAGCAGTGACACGATATTAAAAAAGTAACAAGTATTTAGGCCAGTGGCCACCAGTCAGTCTGAACTGAGCCACATTCCTGTAAGTTTAATGGTCTTTAAATCTGTTAGATGGTTGAAATAATGTCCAATATTTTTGGACATATATTTCAAGATACTGTATTAGCCGTGTAATGTTTTCACATAACTTCACTTAAAAGATCTAAACAATTGTTTTTAATTCTGTCTTTTTTGTGTCTTTTATGCTTTAATACGTTTGTTCAAAATAAAATAAGGGGAATCAACAATATCCAAATCTCACTGAACACAATAAAGGACACTCCACTGGTTGTATAATTCAAGATGCCAAACAGCGTTTATACCATAGACCATAGATCAAGACCACACAGGTCCGGTAACAAAACCACAGACAAGTCAAAGTAACCATGGGGTTCATATTACGGTAGCTATTTAAACATGTAAACAGAATCAGTGTGTCTTCAAATAGCCAAAAAGAGAAAATAAAGAAGACATGTATACAATGTATAAGATCTTGTAGAAATAAAAGGGACCACCAATTAACTTAACATAAGACCTTCTAAAAAAGTTGAAGTTTAAAAAAGAATTAAATAATGCAAGATAAAAAATAAATAAAACAAAAAATAGGACTAAACACACTTTCCACTTATTGACAAATTAAGTAGCTATGCATGCTTTAAGTAACAGTGTGACAGATCTAGTCACAATCTTAAAATGTGCATACAAGACTTTAAACAGCTTGTGAGTGGGTTGAGTCACTCATCCTAAAAATAGAAATCAGACCAAAAAAAAAAAAAAAAAAAAACTGGAACAAAAACAAGAGGAAAACTTCAGTACAGATGAAGGGTGTTTACAACATTGCTGAAAAGATGAAATTTGCTCCAGAAATGCAATCACTGCCACCTACACGTGAATACAGTTAGCACAAACTGTAACACCTTAATCTCTAATCATAACACAATTGAAATGTGCTGAAGATGAACTGTAGAGAATTTGCTTAGATTCTTCTTCTTCGTTTGGCTTTTCCCTCTTCAGGGGTTGCCACAGTGAGTCATCCTCCTCCATCTCACTCTGTCCTCACTCCAACTACCTCCATGTCCTCTCTAACTGCATATATATATATATATATATATATCTCCTCTTTGCTTTTTTTCTGGCAGCTATATTTCTAACATCCTTCTACCAATATACCCATTGTCCCTCCTCTGGACATGTCCAAACCATCTCAGTCTAGCCTCTCTAACTTTATCTCCCAGTTGTTCAACCAGTGCTGTACCTCTGGTGATCTCATTCCTAATCTTATTCAGCCTTGTCAATCCTAAGGAGAATCTTAACATATTAATTTCCGCCACTTCCAGTTCTTTCTCCTGCCTTTTTGTCAATGCCACTGTCTCGAGACCATACAACATTGCTGGTCTCACAACTGTCTTGTAAACATTTCCTTTGACCTTTGCTGACACCCTGTTGTCGCAAATCACTCCTGAAACTTTTTTTTCATTCATTCCATCCTGCCTGGACTCTCTTTAGCACTTCTTTGCCACATTCCCCATTTTCCTGGACAGTGGACCCCAAGTACTTGAAGTCCAGCACCTTTGTGACCTCTGCTGTTCCATCTGCCTCCCTCTCATTCACACACAATTACTCTGTCTTACTACGACTTACTTTCATTCCTCTTCTTTCAAGTGCATACCTACACCTCTCCAAGTTATCTTCCACATGTCCCCTGTTCTCACCACAGATGACAATGTCATCTAAAAACATCATGAATCCCATCTCCACCTTGAAGCTGTCTGTCACCCCTACAGCACACCTCCTGTTGTCTTCATACATGTCCTGTATCAGTCTAACATATTTCTCTTTCACTCCAGATTTCCTCATGCAATACCACATCTCCTCCCTCGGCACTCTGTCATATGCTTTTTCTAAATCCACAAAGACACAATGGAGTTCTTTCTGACCCTCTCTGTACTTCTCCATCAGCATCCTCACAGCAAACATGGCATCTGTGGTGCTCTTTCTTGGCATGAAACCATGCTGCTGCTCACAAATATTCACATCTCATCTAAGTCTAGCTTCCACAACTCTCTCCCAGATCTTCATCATGTGGCTCATCAACTTAATTCCCACGTAGATGCTACAACTCTGTACATCACTCTTGTTCTTAAAAATGGGCACCAGCACACTTCTTCTCCCTTCCTCATGAGGCATTTTTTTCACCCTCAAATATGCCATTTAATATTTGAGTGAAAAACCTCACCACCATCTCGCCAAGACATTTCCAAACCTCCACTGGTATGTCATCACATTCTACTTCCTTCCAACTTCAACTCCATTATTTTCAGAGCTTTCTGGACTTGACCCTCACTAATCTTTCAAACTTCCTGGTCCAAAGTTTCTATGACCTCTACTCTTCTTTCTCTTTCATTCTCTTCATTCGTTAGCTCCACAAAGTACTCCTTCCATCTTCCTGGCACACTCTCCTCACTTGTTAGAACATTACAATTCCTATCTTTAACAAGTCTAACCTGCTGAAAATCCTTTCCAGCCTGATCCCTCTGTCTCACCAATTGGTACAAGTCCATTTCTCCCACTTTAGTGTCCATCTTCCCATAGAACTCATCATACACATTCTGCTTTGCCTTTGCCTCTTTGCTTTCTCATCTCCTTCCATCGCCGTATTCCTTCTTGGTTAACTTCTTTCTTTGAATAGCTTCCTGCACTTCACTATTCCACCACCAAGTTTCCTTATCATCCATTATCTGTCCAGGTGACACACCAAGTACCTTCCTACCCATCTCTAATAATTGTTGTTGTAGTGGCCCAGTCATTTTAAACCTCTTTCTTACCACCCAGAGTAGGGTTGGACATCGAGTATCGATTGGGACCGGGACTAACATTCCAGTTTTCCCGGAATCATTCCAATTATTTATTTTCAATTCCTAGTTTCGATGCCTAGTCCGCCGACTGGAAGTAGACGCCCACTGAACACCAGTGAAGAAGAAGCCACCCGTCGAACACACTAACGAAGAAGAATCAACTGGAAGTGTTCACATACATGGAGAGTGAATGAACGCGATTGAAAGCGTGGCTTAACTTTAATAAAATAGATGACCAGTTGGCTCAATGCAGCGCTTGCAATAATTTTACATCTTGCAAAGGAGGGTGCACATCCAACGCTTCCGGGTTCATGGTGAAGAAGTAACAGAGTGCTCAGTCTTTGATACGCTCCGTCGGAACATTTTCGCTGCCTCCTGCTCCGGCTCCGACACTCAGAAAAAGGCAAGTTAAACAATAAACTATGTATTCTTAAAATGGTGGGTCAACTCAAATACTAACACCATACTAATGTTAGCTCATGTATTTTTTCATAGACAAATGACCTGAAATGGCTAATAATGTTAGCCAGGCTCCACAATGTGCTCCTATGTTCACCATAGCATCCAAGGGAAAGATGCTGGTGCAACAAATTGAATGAAGAGTGCCACAGAACGGTTACAGCATATATTGTGAAAAGGTTGCATCACTTTTCAGATGTGGAATCATCAACATTTACGTTAGTTAGGCAATAACAATAGAGCTAAACTAATTAATAATCCATCCTAAGCTAATGTTACAGTAACAGGGACTTTTCATGTTTGTTTATATGTTTGCAGGGACATGGTGAAAACCATCAACTCAAGTACACACCACCTACTGACCACTTGTCAAACAAATTAATCCCATCTTGGTATAAGGTGGAGAAGTTCACTATAACTAGAGCCGATCTGTGCTTTAAACACAAGATGGATGATGATGTCTGGGAGCAGATCCAGAGAAAGCTGATTGAGCAGGTGAAATGTCATTCATGCACAACTGTCCTTTTCTGCTATTAAAATCTGAAATCTAAATGCTAGTAATGTTCTTTGTGGTCAACAAAGGAAGACTGTGGAACTGATGGGGTCACCATGTACTTAGGAAAGGCCTGAAAATGAGGGAGAGGAGAATGAGGAGGAGAGTGTAAGTGTATGATAGCTGAAATTATATAGATTCTCAATCTTAATAATGATCATGCCTTTAATAATCCCTTTTTACTGATAATACTGATGAACCTGTTGTTTGTTTAGGAACCGCCTCCCTGCAATCTGTCCAGAAAGTCTCCACTGGAGGAGATTTTTGTTGAGGAAGAGTCACAGAACGTAATGTCTCAGCTCCATGTCCATCAAGAAACAAGTGGAAAGAGAGCTGCAGATGTACCAGGAAATTCCACCAGCCATTATGTCTGAGGACCTGCTGCATGGTGGTGAAACCAACACAAGACTTATCTTTTGCTGTCAGATCTTGCTTTATCATATTTAATAATAATAATAATACTTTATGTATAAAGCCCTTTAAAACAACCACAGCTGCCACAAAGTGCTGTACATATAAAATCAATAACATTTAAACACATAAAACAGTTGTTAAAACATTAAGATTAATAAAAAATTAAAAAAAACGATGCAGAGCAAAATTCAGTCTGTGCAAAAAGCCAGGGAGTAAAAATGTGTTTTTAAAAGAGTTTTAAAACTGGACAGTGAAGGGGCTTGTCTGATGGGAAGAGGGAGATTGTTCCACAGTCTTGGAGCAGCAACAGAAAAAGCTCTGTCCCCTCTGAGCCTCCGTTTAGACGTTGGCACCTCCAGGAGCAGCTGATCAGCTGATCTGAAGCACCAAGCAGGAGAGTATGGATGAAGCAGCTCAGAGAGGTAGGCTGGGGCAAGACCATTTAAACTTTTAAAAACAAATAAAAGAATCTTAAAATGAACTCTAAAATGAACAGGCAGCCAGTGGAGTGAAGCCAGAGTGGTGGTGATGTGCTCCCTCTTTG